CCTCATTTCATTGAAGAGAGAGAGAGAGAGACAGAGAGAGAGAGAGAGAGAGAGAGAGAGAGAGAGAGAGAGAGAGAGAGAGAGAGAGAGAAGGAGAGAGAGAGAGAGAGGTACCTTTGAAGAGAAGGAAAGAAAAGTAAGGTTGAAAGTTGTCTCTTTAAAGTCTACTAAGTCGGTAATTTTTTAAAAAATTAATTTATTTTTAGTTTTCAACATTCACTTCCATAAACTTCTGAGTTTTAAATTTTCTCCCCCTCCCTCCCCATCTTCTTCTTCCCCAAGACAGTGCACAATCTGATATAGGCTCTACATATACATTCCTATTAAACATATTTTCACATTAGTCATGTTGTAAAGAAGAATTAGAACCAATAGGAGGAACCACAAGAAAGAAGAAATAAAACAAAACAAGAAAAAAAAAGAGCAAATAGTATGCTTCGATCTGCACTCAAACCCCATAGTTCTTTCTCTGGATGTGGACAGCATTTTCCATCATGAGACTTTTGGAGATGTCTTAGATCCTTGCGTTGCTGAGAAGAGCTAAGTCTATCAAAGTTAGTCATCACACAACACGGCTGTTACTGTGTACAACATTCTCCTGGTTCTGCTCACTTCACTCAGCATCAGTCCATACAAGTCTTTCCAGATTTTTCTGAAGTCTGCTTGCTCATCATTTCTTATAGCATAATAGTATTCCATTACATTCATATACCACAACTTGTACAGCCGTTCCCCAATTGATGGGCATCCTCCCAATTTCCAATTCTTTGCCACCACATATAGAGCTGCTATAAATATTTTTGTACATGTGGGTCCTTTTCCCATTTTTATGGTCTCTTTGGGATACAGCCCTAGAAGTGCTATTGCTGGGTCAAAGGGCATGCACATTTTTATAGCCCTTTGGGCATAGTTCCAAATTGCTCTCCAGAATGGTTAGATCAATTCTAAGTGGGTGATTTTTTCCTGGCTAAAGGACCAATCCTCTTTGAAAGGCGCCTCTTGCCACTTTCATCTGACAAAGGAATGGCTGAGCCATCCCAAAGCACCAACTCATTCAGTGCTCTGCTTCACACATAGCCCACTAGAAGTGGGTCCCCAAAATGGAGGTAGAATAGGAGCGGATGCTAATTGATTGCCCCCATTACATAACTGAAATAGTCCATGTTGATATACTCTATGCTACAGCTGGTTACAAACTAATTTTCCCCACCCCTACTTCAGGGTAGAACTTTCCATTATCTTCTGTTTGTATAATATATTTAGCTCAATTATCCAGTTGGAATTTATTTATATGGTGTAAGATGCTAGTCTAAATGTATTTTCACTAGACTGTGATCTGTTTTTTCCCCCCACAGTTCTTGTAGTACAGAGTTCTTCCCCCAATACTTTGTGTTCTTTCTTAGATTTATCATGCTGTACTGTTAGCTATATGTTTCCTCCTAAGTCTTGATTACTTAATCTATTCCATTGATCAGCTCCACTGTTTTTTAAAGCTAGTACCAGGTAATGTTGATAAAAGCTTTATAATTTGAGATATAACAATGCCAACCCTCTTTCTTTTCTATTCCTTTCATTATTTCCCTAGATATTCTTGACTTTTTAATTCTTCTATGTGAATTATTATTTTTGTCTAATTCTATAGAGTACCCATTTGGTTATTTGATAGGTATAGAATTAGATCTGTGGACTAAAAATGTCACCATTTTTGCTATATTAGAATGAACATTGATATCTCTCTACTTAATTAGGTCTTTAATTTCTGTAAAATTGTCAAATAATAATGGGGACAACATGCATTCTTGTTTTATCCCTGTATTGAGAAAGCATATAGTGTTTCTATATTACACATAACTTTAGCTTTAGCTCTGTTTTAGAGAAATGTTTTTGATCATATTAAGGAACAATTCATTCAATCCTATGCTTTATAGTGGTTTTTTTAGCATAAATGAGTGCTATATTTGATTTATTTTTTCTGAGTATTTTAGAGTATTTTGCTGTATTTTAAAGAAACTACTGCAAGGAATATAAAGATGAGTGATGGACTTAAGATTCAAGTTAATCTGTTCACATCACACCTCTGATGCTTACAAGTCAGTTAACCTAGCTGACCTTTAGTTTCCTCAATTATAAAATTGTGGTAGTACTACCCACACCCATTAAGATCATAAATCTGGAGATAGAAGGGATCTTAGAAACCATCTAGTCCAACCTCCCCCCACCCCATTTTACAAATTCCATGTGAATGAATGGAGAAATATTAATTAAGCATGCTTAAGCTCTGGGAACAGAAATAGGTAAAGTGGAAACACATATAAGTGAATTCAGCAGAACAGATGGAAAGGTCCAAAAGTCCTAAGAGTTCAGTGTCAGGATAAAGAGCAAGGTTCAGAGGTCCTGTTGCAAATGTAGGTCAGATATAGGTAGAGGAGTCTTGAGGGCCAAAGGACCTTAGGATTCAGAATCAGAGAACATAGTAAGACCTGGTGGACTTCTACCTTATTGAAAGCATTTTAGTTGGTGACTCCCAGCTCATCCAAGTGGTATGTTACTCTCCCTAGATCTGGGGAGGGAGGATAAGGGAAAAGGAGGGGATGCTCATGGTATTCACTTCAATATTGTTGTGAGGCTTCAGTTAGATCATGTAATGGAAAGTGCTTTACTAAACTTAAAGTAAAATGTCTATTGTTTTTAAGGCTTTTTCTGTTCCTGTTACCTCAGTTGTGTTTTTTTGCTATTCTATTATTGTTATATTATTCTATTTGTTTTCCTAATATAGAACTATTCTTGTATTTCAGGTTTAAATTCAATAGTCATAATGAATAATTTTTGGATATATTGTTCTAATCTCTTTGCCAGTACTTATTTGTTTTTCTTTTTTTCTTTTTCTTTTTTATTTATTTTTCACCAATGTTCATTAATAATATTGTTCCCTCTCTGTTTTATCCTTCTCTGTTTTGGGAATTAAGGATCATGTTTGTTTCATAGAATTTGAGTTATATAGAATTTGTCTTATAGAATTTCTTTGTTTTCTGAAAAGTTTGTGTAGTATAAGCATTTTTTCAAACTCAGATTTTTTTTAATGAATTGTTTTTCTTTATTGCAAGGCAGGGTTCAGTTTTGGGTAACTGTGATGTAAAGATAAAAGACATCAATCAGATGTATAAAATGTATATAAATCTGTCTTGACCTGGAGTTATGTTTTCTTTGAAAGTTCATTTACAGCTTGCTCAATTTGTCTGAGAATTAGTTATTTATGTTATCTATTTTCTGTTTTGTTAGCTTTAGTATCTTCTTCTTTCTAGATTAATGACAGGAAAATTCACTATTAATGAGGATGTGGGAAAATAGGAATGCTACTAATGAAGTTATAAATTGGTCCAACTATTTAAAAAACAATTGCAAAATTATGCAAGAAAAATTACCTATTTATGCCCATTTCCCCAGCAACCCCACTATTTGGTTTATACCCCCCACAGATGTTACTAACATGAAAAGACCCAACTGTATAAAATATCATAGCAACACTATTCATAATAGCAAAAAAAAAATGTTAACTGCCCAACATTTACGATGGCTGAATAAATTGTATGTGAATGTAATGGAACAAGAGTATATATCAGGAGAAATGATGAATATGAAGAAGATACAGAAATAGAGGAAGATATATGAAATGATGCAGAGTGGACAAAGGAAAGCCAGAGGACTTATATACACAATTACAACAGCTCTGTAAATGAATACAATAAAATTAATGTGAAAAATGCTGGACAATGCTTGTACTAACTTAGTAGCGTACATATCCTTCTTTTCTTTTAGAAAATAGAAAACTGTAGTTTTCAGAGTGTCAAGTACTGAAATAAATCAAAGCCATGATTGAGGAATAAAGTGTTTTTAATTGAGATAAAAGGCTAGCAAACCTGCCACCCTGGGGGATGTCCAGGAGATTTCCCAAATCCAAGATCCATGCAAAAGCTTCTTATACCTTTAGGAGGTAGGTGGAGGAGGTAGCAAGGCCTGGTCATGAAATCTCAGTTGTCCTCAGCAATCTGAGCAAGGAAAACTTCTTCATTTTGGTTGTTTTGCCCTTCTTGCCCTGAATCCCAGGGTAACGGGGCAAAGACCTCAGAGGCCTACATCCCACTTGAGTCAGGATTCCCCCACAAGGCAAGATCTCAGGATGGGACTTAAGCTCAACCTAACTGACCCTATCTTGCTGGGAATGCTACTGACACTCTGACATTGCTAGTGTCATTTAGGGAGTGGCAGGTAACATAACATTTGGTATTAACAATTTTCTGTCAAGACTAAGTCTGCATGTGCAATTAACTGCTTACAGTGTGCCAGCTGTCTTGGAAACAAAAATACAGGTTTACAGTTTAATTTGGAGGGCAACATACACATATGCAGAGCATTTGGTTGCACTAAGACTTTTGGGACATCCTGTATATGGAACACCTACAAAGGTAACCTCGTTGGGGGAAGGAGAAAGGGGGGAAGACCAGGAAAAGTCTCAAGCACAAGGTTGTGCTTGAGCTGAGTCTTAAAGGAAACGATGGATTTCAGATTGCACATTTTGGGGAAATCAATTAGGAGTACAGAGGAACTTTGTATGTATTATACATTGAATCAACATGCATCAATTTTTTAAAAATGATTAAGATGTGACAATTTTGAAACTGGTTTTGCCTTTTGGGGGGATGGTCAGGGAAAGGATGGCTGACACGGGAAATCCTTTTCTGAAGAAATAGGTGAAAAATTAAAGCTAGGCTTGGAGAGGAGCCCTGGAAGAAGCCTTCTTCGCTCTCTGCATCCCCATAGCTTCTCAGGAACTTACGGGTTCAGGGCGCTGCACTGGATGAGCTCTCCTCATCCCCTTCCCCCTAGTTTCCTCAACCCAGACCCAACTCAGCCATGAACACGTGCAGCCCAACCCTAAAGTGAAAAAATCTAAGCGAGAGCGCCCGTCCTTAAATGGAGGTCCCCCCCCCGTGCGCGGTGACGTCAGACGTCGCTGTCACAGCCGGCGTTGGGGGGGTTTGGTGTGGGGTAGAATGGCCGCCGCCGCCGCCAGCGGGACCCCGGGAGGTAAGAGCCTTGGCCTCTTGCCGGCCTCCCCACCCCGCGCCAGGGGGCGCAGGTCCGCTCGTGCCGGCCCCAGCGGCTTAGCCCCGTGGCGCCCCACCTCTAGCCCCTTGCACTCCCTTCCTCCTTCCTCCGCCCCCTCCCCCGCAGTAGGGGGCGCAGCTCCACACAGCCCCCTGCGGCTCCCCCCCCCCCCCCCCCCCCCCCCCCCCCGCTCCTCTGCTGAGGGACCTGCGGCCCGGAACCTCCTCCTGCCCCAGGGGCTCCCCTCCCCCGCCCAGCTGCACCTGGGTGCTCCTGGAGGCGGGGCGAACGTCCGTGACCCCGAGCTGTGGCCCCATCCTGCCGGGGATCCGCACCAGCCCTCACCTGGCTGGCACCTTGCGTTTGTGCCCCGTGGTGGACCCCCCAGAATCCCCCTCCTCCCCGTGCGTGCGAACACACACATTCACACACTCACTCTCACTCTCACTCACACACACACACACACACACACACACACACACACACACACACACACACACACACACATTCTGCTATCACCGGGGCTCGTCATCCCCCTCCAACCCTATCCAGCTTGGGGGAGCATTGCCCCATCCCCCTTCCCTCAGATGCCCCAGCTCAGCTTCATGATGAGATGCCATCTCAAGCCTCCTCCCATTTGTTCCCAGGAAGGTGGGGGGGGCGCTTGGGCCCTGGGGTGGAGACAATTTGGTTGATGTGGGATAGGCAAAGGGACCTGAGAGAAAGGATGGGGGGGGGGGGCGAGCCTATATTTCTAATTTCCATATGGGGTGGGACAAAACCATTAGCCAGGGTGCCTGAGAGAAACGATCCCTTGGGGTCTGGGGCATAGTGTGGGGAGGGTTGAATGAGCCCCAGTATCTCACCTGGGCCTCAGTCACAGTTGAGAAAAAGGGGAGGAGGCTAGAATAAGCTTTCCATGAGGTCTTTTACTTAGAACTGCAAAAGGAAAAAAACAAAACAAAACAGGACAGTGTCTGTGAGCATCCCAGGGCCTGTACCTTGTGACTTACCTTCTGTGATCTAAGTGTCCTAGCTTCAGCTTCTCCCAGCTTTCCTCCTCTCTAGTACCTCTTTTCAGATACTCAAATGTTCAGGTCCCCAAGCTTGTCCTTTGAGGCATTTGCTGCTTCAGAGGCATATGGTCTCTTAGGCCCCAGTTACTCAGTTCTGGCTCCATTTCCCTCACCCCTCATTCTTAGTTTCCATTCCCTACAGTGCAGTGTAAAGAGGGCTGAATTTGGACTCGGAGGACCTGGGTTTGAAATCTACTCTGTCACTAACTAGTGTGACAGACCTCTCCAAACTGTCTAGAAAATGAGGGAGTTAGACTAGGATGATCTCTGAGGTCTTTTCCAGCTCTAAATTTGTTTCTCTATGACTTTGTTCTCTTGCCCTTATCGTCCAAGTTATCCCTTTTCTGATACATCTTGGTTCCCATTTTGAATCTTTCTGTTTCTCCAGCCCTCTATACACTCCCTCCCCCATAAGCTATTCTTCAGATCTCTGTACCCCAGCCCTTCCCTCTCAAGAATCACAGCTTCCCCAGGGGCTATGTTTTTTTCTTAGGTGAGGTGGGAGAGGGGGAGATGTTGAGTATAAATCTGCCTTATCTTTTTCCAGGACATAGATCCCCTCCCCCTGGCCCATCAGGCAGAGGGTGACCTTGCCATTTGGAGATACCTTCACCATGAATAACAAGGACACTACTGAGGTTGCTGGTGAGTTCTGTACTGCTCTTCCCCCCCCCCCGCCATACACCACGTTTCAAAATGTTAGGGTTAAAAGGAAACTTGTCGATTCTCTAGACTCATTTTTCTCATTCTCTAGTAAGAGTACACTGACTCCTGGTTTCCAATTCTTCTCAGAGAACAGCCATCACCTGAAGATCTTTCTCCCCAAGAAGTTACTGGAGTGTCTTCCCAGATGCCCACTGCTGCCTCCTGAGCGGCTCCGATGGAACACAAATGAGGTTCCCCAGGGATGCTAAAATAGACAAGGGTGGGAGGAAAGACCTTTGTCCATGATCTAGAAGTCCCTGGTGGGCAGGAAGAGGGGAAGAATTTTGTTTTGTTTTTGGCCAGTATGTGTGTCTCAGTGTCCATAATCAACAGTTAAGTGATTGAGCACCTACCACATTCAGTGCACCATATCAAGCATGGTCTTCAAGCTTCTTCAAAAGCTTATAGTTAGGGGGCAGCTAGGTGGCGCAGTAGATAGAGCACCAGCTCTGGATTAGGGAGGACCTGAGTTCAAATCCAGCCTCAGACACAACACTTACTGGCTGTGTGACTCTGGGCAAGTCACTTAACCCCACTGCTAGCCAAAAAAAAAAAGCCTATAGTTAGTTGGGAAAACAAGATTTAGTTATATAACTAGATAATTTAGCTATCTACAAGTGATCAGTGCCAAGTAATAATACATAGAATAAGTGCTATGGGATGTCACAGGTTGGAGAGATGCTTGTGATCTGGACTGGTGAGGAAGAGGTGACATGGTATAATTACAAGAGCGCTGTATTTGTGGACAGAGGCTCTGAGTTTATGGGCCTCAGTTTCTTCATTTGTAAAATGATGGCATTGGATTAGATGGACCTCTAAAGTCTCTTCTGACTTCTGGATCCTCTAAGGATTAATAGAATGTAAACTTCTAAGGGCATGGACTGCTACATTTTTTTTTCTTCATAGCCTATGTGCTGTGGGCATATGGGCTATGCAAACATATGCATAAAGTCAGTACATAATTTAAACTTTGGTTTTTTTAATGCCACTATTAAGCTTTGTTTTATCTAGTGAAATAAGTATGCAGAATGAAGTTGCTCAAAGATTCACTATAATTTAAAATAAAATGAAGGCAGTGTGAGCCTGAAGTTGGGCTTGAAGGCTGGGCAAGATTCATATAGGTTAGGGGTTTGTTTGTTTTGTTTTTCAGTAATGGGCTACATTATCAGAAAGCCATATGTGTGATAGCCATACTTTTTTTTTTAAACTATTATAGTTATTAATTGATCTAAGCTTAATATGATGATTCCTAGGAGCAGTGACTTACATAGCTGTAATGGCAGGCTGGTAATTAGGCCCCAGTGGCCTAAGAGTCCATGCTAATAGTATAAGACATTGTTTTGCTAATCTTAGCTGTATTTGGTTCAAAGATTTCATGTTGGATACCCAGGAGATGGGTGGAAAGATGGGGAACATCCAAATGGGGGATCATCATGAGTTGACTTGGAAGCTAGACTATTTTACATTTGTTGAGGGGTGGGAAGCAGTGTGCAGCTAGTGTGAAGGGTTGGTCATGTGGAGTAACAAGAGCAGATCAGGTTGGAGAAGAAGGTTAAGAGAAGATAGTATGGTTGGGGCGGGGGAGGAAGGGGGGAAAGGAATTCTTGAATGCAAGGCTGAGGAATTTGGACCTTACCCTGTAGGCCAGGGGTGGGGAACCTAGGGCTTGTCAAAGGGCCAAACTTGAGGACCTTGAGGGCCACATGTGGCCTCCAGGCCTCGGGTTCCCCACCCCTGCTGTAGGCAGTGAGAAGCTGTTTAAATGCTTTTGAACAGATAGAATAACAGAGGTGTGATATGAGAGTGATTTTTTTCATAAAGATTATTAATCTGACAGAGGAAGAAAAGACTGTGGATGGGGAGATCAGTTAGGATTGCAGTAGTCCCAAATTTTAGATAATAAAGACCTGAACAAGGGTAGAGGCAATGGGAATGGAAATTATCTAGTTGGATTGGAGTGGAAGAAAAAGATCAGATTTTTTTTTTGTTGTTGTTGTTCTATTTATGAGTCAGGGAGAATAACCAGCTTTTGGAACATCTCACTTAGCTCTTATGTGAAAGGCTCCTGGGGAGAAGGGAGAGGGTCATAGTTTCTTCGTGTCAAGTCAGAGGAAATGGAGCCTCTGAGCTTCCTTATGGCAGTTATAAGGGATAATCAGGCCATAATAGGGCCTATTCTCAGGACCTTGATCTAGGAAGCCCTGGTGGGCAGCAAGAGGGGAAGAGTTTAGTTTTGTTTTTGGCCAGTATGTGTGTCTCAGTGTCCATAATCAATAATTAGGTGATTGAGCACCTACCACATTCAGTGTACCCATATCAAGCATGATCTTCAAGCTTCTTCAAAAGCTTATAGTTAGTTGGGAAAACAATTATTTCCCTCCAGCATCTATAACTTGGCAGTGGGTAGGCCTTTTGAGTTTTGACATGCCAGGGAGAAGAGTAAGGGTAGGAGCTTAGAGAGAAAAGCTATAAAATAAGGAGCTTGGGGAGAAAATGGGGGGGGGAAGAGAACAGAATATTTTTTTTTCCCTCATAGGAGATTGCCTCGTACTTAATCACCTTTGAGAAGCATGACGAGTGGCTGTCCTGTTCCCCCAAGACCAGGTAAGGGGAGTTGGAGGAGGGTGTTAAGGCTAAGGATACAGGATCCCAGAGCCTGCTTTACCTTCTTCTATGCTTCCTCAGGCCTCAGAATGGCTCCATCATCCTCTATAATCGCAAGAAGGTAAAGTACCGGAAGGATGGCTACTGCTGGAAGAAGCGGAAGGATGGAAAGACCACTCGAGAGGACCATATGAAACTGAAGGTGCAGGGCATGGAGGTAGGGGAAGGCCCTTTGGGGTTGGTGTCTGGTTCTTCTGTCTCTAGTTTTGAATCACTCATGCCCTGGCTCATTTTCTAGAATCCAAATGTTACTATAGTCACCTCTCCTATCCACAGTCATAGGTCAACCATCTCACCTCTTGGGAAATAGACTGGTTCCCCATTTCCTTCAGTAACCCAGTTGTCAGGTCACCAACTTTGTTTCTCACAGGGACTCATCTGTCCAGTCTCCTACCTTCTCTAATATTTTCCTTAAAAATCCTTGTATATGGTCTGAGTCCCAACTATAGCTTTTGCCACCCCTCCTATTCTCAGTGTCCTAATACCTACCTCATGGATGTTCCTAGAAGGTTCCACTTTGAAAGTCCTGAATACCTCACCCCCTTCTTTTTTCCTTCCCCTTGACTCTGTGTTATTTGGATTTAGGTTCATGGGGGGGAGGTGGCAGGGCTCATGGGGGAGACAAGTCTTTTGAAAGGTACTAAAGAGAAGAGGTGGGAAGCAGCCTTCCCCTCCAACTCTCTCTTGGCAGTGTCTCTATGGCTGCTATGTTCACTCCTCCATTGTTCCCACATTCCATCGTCGCTGTTACTGGCTGCTACAGGTATTGAGGGGATTGGGGAGTCAGCTTCTTGGGCAGTTAGGAGGGAGTGAAGAGAGGAAAGACTGGGCTCTGAGAAGGAAAGAAATTGGGTTAAAGGAAAGAGGGTTATGGACTGGGAAGGCCAAACACCTATGTATTTGGGAGGAATGGGAGTTTATGAGGGAGGTTTAAGAGCTGAAGAGGCTGCTGGGGGAGGTGGAGGAGAACGGAATTCTGGGAAGGGAACTAAGTACTATGGGGCGGAACATCTAGGTCCCAGTGTCCACTGGCACCCTGTGTCTACCATTGCTGCCCTCAGAACCCTGACATCGTCCTTGTGCACTACCTGAATGTCCCCGCCCTGGAAGATTGTGGGAAGGGCTGTGGCCCCGTCCTTTGTTCCATCAGCAGCGATCGAAGGGAATGGCTCAAGTGGTCCAGGGAGGAGCTGGTGGGGCAACTGAAGCCCATGTGTAAGAACCCTAGAGTGAAAGTGGGTCTCAGGGTGCCCTCACAGAAGCCAAGGCTACTGCTAGGTACCTCTGGAGTGACCTGCTCTCCCTAGCTAATGAAGAGGTTTGATCCCTGGTGCTGCTGGTAGCTGAAGTGCTGGTGGATTCTCAGGGCCTTGTATTGCAGAAGTGGTGGGAGCAAGGGAAAGATAAGGACTACATATCCCAGGAATGCTCAGAACAGCTACCTTTTCCCAGGCTACTAGTCCCATGGCATCATGGGAGTTGTAGTCCAGTGAGGGACAGAGGGACAGCAAGGGGGGTTTAGGGGCTGGATTTTCTTAGGTTCACACAGCAGGCCCTCCCTCCTCCCTTTTTCAGTTCATGGCATCAAGTGGAGCTGTGGGAATGGGGCAGGTGAGTTCTCAGTGGAACAGCTGGTGCAGCAGATTCTGGATACCCACCAGGCCAAGCCCCTGCCCCGTACCCATGCCTGCCTCTGCAGTGGAGGACTTGGTTAGTGACGGGACCCAAGGGCTCCCTCTGGCTCTGAGTTCTATTCCCCACTGGAGACAGAAACACCCTTTATACTTGTTTGCATGCTAATTTATATATGTTTTGCACATTGTTTCCTGACAGTCCAGTGGGACTGAGGACTTCTTCTCTAGACCTCACCTTTTCTTCAAGAAATGCCTTCCCAGGCTTTGGGCCAGTTTCTCACTCTGTCATTTATCTTTGTGACCCCCAGTCTTTGTGCACTATTCATGCACAGGCATCAGCTCACTACCTTTTCTTTCTCTCCACCAGCCTGTTTCTTTTCCCCTTGCAACCTTGCAATTCCCCTGTGCTCTTCTCCCTGCAGTGCCTGTCCAGCCAGAATTTGTGGCATCTCTGCTTCTCCCCAATGGCCACAGTCATTTTTACACGTCTATCTGTAAATCTCCACTGAAGAAAAATTGAAAAGTTGTCTTACTCTACTCTTTTTCTTTCTTCCCTACCCCATTCTTCACTACAGGTTCCACAGGGAGCCTACCCCACAAATGCAGCAATACCAAGCACCGAATTATCTCCCCTAAAATTGAGCCTCGGACCTTGGCCATACCCCCAATCCCACCTCCAAGACCCCCTGAACCCCTTCCACAGGCTCTCCCACCCCTTACGGAACTCCCTGACCTTCCCAAGGTTGATACCTCACCCTCTTCCTGCTCTTCCTCCTCTTCTTCTGGCTTTGCTGAACCCCCTGAAATTAGCCCTAGACCTCCAGTAACTCCAGGAGGGCTGCCCAGGGCAGGACCTGCTCTCCTCCTCCTGACAGGTTTGGAGCAGCTCACTGGGGGTTTAACTCCCAGCAGGCACTTGGCTTCTCAGCCTGAGTTTGGGCCCTCCCTGGGCCTGGCCCTGGTCCTAGGCCCTCAGCCTCCTGCCCCACCTGGCCCTCCCAGTCCTGCCTTTGATCCTGATCGATTCTTCAACAATCCCAGTCAAGGCCAGACTTATGGAGGTGGGCTGGGGGTGAGTCCCAGTTTCCCTGAGGCAGAGGCAGCCAGAACACCTTGCCCAGCCCTGGAACCTGCTGCTGCTCTGGAGCCTGTGGTATCAGATCAACGGACTACTCCGAAGTCTGGAGAAGGAAGAGAAGGGAACCGATTCTTTATCCCAGAGGATGCAGGTGGGGAGGGAACTGGCCCTGCTGCGGTCTCCTCATCCCCATCCATGGAGTCATCAGTCCGGCCTGGAAGAGGTGAAGGGCTGTTTGGAGGACCAGGGGGGACCAGTGAACTAGAGACTTTCAGCTTGTCTTCCTTCCCAGACCTCATGGGGGACCTGATCAGTGAGGAGGCTCCAGCGGCTCCTGGCCCTCCAGCTCTTAGCGTTATCACTGACTTCTCTCCTGAGTGGTCCTATCCAGAGGTGAATATCATATTCATTCATCATTCCTCCTCATTACTTGCTGTCCCATTCCCACCCTGAGCCTAGCCCCTAGTCACTCAAACCTAAGTTTCCACAGTAACCATAGTCCTGTAGTCTATGATCTAGATTCCTTAACTTCCCTCAGATTTTTATGGCATGTGGCCTATCTTGTTTTCCATGCTGTTTCTCCCTTAATTACCTTAATATATACAGGGTATCCCAAAAGTTTTAGTGCAGTTTTGAACTTAGATTAAAATTGTACTAAGGCTTTTGGGACATCCTGTATATTATCCAGAGGGTACCCCCATTCTCTGGTGACTCTGTTTGGATGGGAATATTTGCTTGTTCACAGGGTGGGGTCAAGGTACTGATCACAGGTCCTTGGACAGAGGTCTCAGAGCGTTATTCTTGTGTCTTCGACCACATCCTTGTGCCAGCCTCACTTGTCCAGTCTGGTGTCCTGCGCTGCTACTGTCCTGGTATGGAGGAGTGGGAAGCACTGATCAGACAGGTCAGGATGGCATAGTCTCTAGATGTCTTATCAGGAGCTTCGCCATTAGATACTGGAAGCTAGAGACTTAATATGGGGAAACCCAGAAGGTTACCAAGGCTATATCTGAAATTAGTCTCTGTCCTTTTCTCCAAAGTAGCCAGGACTAAGGAGGCAGCATGGGGCAATGGAAGGAGTCCTGGACTTGGAGTTGGGAAACTTGGATTCTAGTCTCAGCTCTTCTTATTGACTGTGTGCCTCAGCCAAGTCATGTAACTTATCTGAACCTCATTTTGTGTTGTCTGGTCTCTAAGACCGCTCCTAGCTTTGTACATCTGTGGAGTTAAGGGGTCGGACAACTTTAACCCAAGGTAGAAAAAGAGGGAAACCGTCTAGGGGTCTTAGAGGCAGAAAGGGATAGTGGAAAAGACTGAAGTCCTAGCTCTACCACTTATTAGTTATATGATCATAGGCAAGTGCTTTCCTCTTATGTAACATATCAATGATTCTTGCCACTACTAACCTCACATAACTTGTGCTTTGCAATCTATAAAGCATTATATGGATGTGAGCCACTATTATCATTATTATTATTGACTTTAATCCCAGGATGCTAAAATGAACCCTGGCCTCATAGCCCAGACCCCATTGCCAAGAAACATCTGTACTCTATCCTAACATGCCTATCAACCAGGATCAGAGAAAAGCCTCAAAGGTTTCATCACTGATGAATAGGAAGATGAGGTCTCTGAAACAATCCAGGAATCATAGGAATGACCTGCCTCAACAGGCTTTGTTGTATGTGGGTATTCCACCCCTGCCAATACCACCACCTTGTGAGTTGGCAGGCTTGGGGATGAAAAGAGTAGAGTTGGGTTTTCTTAGCTTCCAGTCTAGGAGATCAGGAACTCAAAGGGCCATGAGAATCACTAGGTCATAAGCCAAACTAGACTCCATTCCTTGGAAACTTTTTCTACTTTTCCTCAGTAGTGAAATTGGATGGGAGTGGAGGGAGAGAACAATAGGATCTCTTTACCAGCCAAGGTGTATCAGAGAGTTCAGGCAACACCTGGCCAAAGACTCAGAGTCACCATTGCCAAGGAGCACATTTCTCCTAACATCCAGGTTTGCTGGGGCCTCTGGGAGATGTAAGGCAAGGGGAAGAGTATAGGTAGGATAAGGCCTCAGGACTGATCCAGGTCTCTGAGTTGCTGGCAGGGGTTATCTCAATAAGAGAAACTGACATTCTTCTCCCTCCCCCTTTGTCTTCCCTAGCTCATGAGGCAGGGTTGGTATCTCTTCAGGTGGCAGGAGAAGGGGGCCCACTCTCTGCCTCTGTACTCTTTGAGTATCGTGCCCGCCGCTTTTTAGCTCTTCCCAGCACCCAACTCGACTGGCTGTCCTTAGATGGTGAGTACCTAATCCACCCTGGACCTAGACATCCAATACTGTAACCTCTGTACTTCACTTCTCTCTCCCTACCTTTGGTTCTCATTTCTTTCAGGGATTTAGTTGGGTGTCTAGTGTGCCAGTCAATAAGCTATATGCCACCCACTATGCTAAGCACTGGGATTACAAAGAAAGGCAGAAGATAGTCCCTGCCCTTGAGCTCACAATCTAATGGAGGAGACAACATGCAAACAATTATATACAAACAATCTGCATACAGGATAAAAAAATAATCAACAGAAGGAAAACACTAGAGTTAAGAGGGTTTGGGAAAGGCTCCTTGTAGAAGGTGAGATTTTAGTTGGAACTTGAAGTTAGTCAGGAGGAGGAAATGAAGAGGGAGAGGACTCCAGGCATGGGAGACAGTCAGTGAAAATGCCCCGAGTTGAGAGATGAAGTGTCTTGTTCCAGGAACAGGAAGGAGGCCCATATTACTGGATTGAAGAGTATGTAGGAGGGAAGTAATGTGTAAGAAGACTGGAAAGGTGGGACAGGTGGCTTGGTTATGAAGGACTTTGGACACCAAACAGAAGATTTTATGTTTGATCCAGAAGGTGATAAGGAACCACTAGAGTTTATTGAGTTTTAGGGGGTGGGGAGGAATGTCAGACCTGAGCTTAAGAAAATCACTTTGCCAGAGTTTTCTAGCTTCCAGCTCCCCAGTTATGTCCAGGGCCTAGTTCTATTTTTTTCTTGATCTATAACTGGCTTCTTCTCCACTTCTTCTTTCCTAGATTTCTTAGACTCCATCTCTAAGTCCTGGGACTTTTTCTGTTTCCCTCTCTGGGTTTTGGCTATTCCTGTCTACAGAACTTTCTTCCTTGGGGTCTAATGCTTGGGCTATCTGTCTTGCCTCATAGTTTTTCAGAGTTCCTTTGTCATTCTTTGTCTTGGTGTTTTTTCCCATCTCTTTTTCCCTCTTCAGCCCTTCTTATAGGAAAAGGAGGCTATAATGTAGTGTAGTGAACAGTAGTAGGCCTGAAGTCTGTAGATGTGGCTTCAGGTCCCAGATCACCCACTTAACTGTGTGACTTTGGGCCTCTTTCCTTCTTTGTAAAAAGGGAATTTTGTACCTTAGGTTCATTATGTACCTAAAAGCACTGTTGTGAAGAAAATTTTTTATGAACTATTAACGTGCTTTTAACAACCCATGATTGTTTGTGCCCCTTTCTGACAGTTTTTTTTTCTGGTGAAATTCTCAGTGTTATAAGTCTTGGGAATTTCTATATCCAAAGCACTGGCTTTGGAGTCAAGGTTCAAATTCTACCTGTCTGACACCTGTATTTCCTCATCTGTAAAATGAAGTTGGCCTGGATGGCCTCTGAGGTCCCTTTTAGCTCTAGATCATATGAACCTGAGATCCTCTCTTATTAACTTCTTCCTTTCTTCGTGTTTGTATTTTTTCCTCTCAATTTTCTTCTAACAGTTTTTTCTCCTCTGTCATTATATCTACACATCTTACTGGATCTTTGTTTCCTGCCCTTTCTCTATATTACTTAAGTTTCTGTCCATCTTATCCCTTATCAACATCAGTGCTTCCATCCTCTTCCACCTATCCCTTCCCTGCCATGTCAAGCACAACCATTCTCAGCCTTCCCCCTTTATAGCCCCCACAAGGGGAGGGTGGTTTTAAATGACTCTCCACAGTCTCTTGTGGGAAGCAGTAACTGAAGAGGAGAGACCCTGGAGTTACCAGGCCTCACTGTGGGGGCAGAAGTAGTATTGGGGGCAAGGAGAAGAGATAGATAACCCTGGGAGATGATGCATAAAGGGGGAAGTGTTTTGAACAAAGTAGGAAAGATTTGCAAAACCCATTACCCAAGCCTTTGCCATTCTCTCTGCATTATCATGTAAACTGATTTGAGATCTAGATATTTAAGTTGCATTCTTCATTCTGGCATACATTTAGGGTCCCTGGTTCAGGTTTGAGGGAGGTATCTTTCCTTCTTGGGTATCCTTTTCCTCCCACATCTTGGGATACTTTTTGTTTCTGGTATTTGGAAGGTTGTTTACATCCTTTCCCAACTCAATCTCCTGTCCTTTTCCCCTACAAGACAACCAGTTCCGGATGTCCATACTAGAGCGACTAGAGCAGATGGAAAAGCGGATGGCAGAGATAGCAGCAGCTGGACAGGCTCCTCCCCCAGGTCCTGACCCTCACCCAGTACAGGTATTTGGAGAGAGGGAAGGTGGAATATTTGTTGCACCTTCCCTAAGCAAACAGCTGTGGTGTTTGACCCACCTTACTTTCCTTCCTTCCTCTGTATCTTCTGACCTCTTTAGCCTGGTGCCCCTCTCCTCTTCCTGATACACCATGTCTCCCAACACTACCTTCTCCTCTTCCAAGGGTAGCTATTCTGGGTGCCATCTTGGCATGCCTACTCCTCAAACTATTTCTGGTCTAGAAAGGGGGAAAAACTGGGGAAGGCAATGGGGGGATCTTCAAAGATCTGGGGGTCGTGATTTATACCAGTGAACTGGCAGTTATGTGGCACTATTTTAGGGACAAGGACACCTAGATGTCTGACCAGAATGGTCTCAAGAGAAGTAAGAGACAGAAGGCCTGGTTTCCAGAAGAAAGTGGAAACTAAGGATAGAATTAGAAAATGGAAGTAGGAGAAGAATATCTGGGTCTTATTAGGTGAATGAGACTAGACAGTTGGATTAGGGCTGTTTGAGAATTATGGGAGAGGATGTTTGGGTGCCTGAGTCAAGAGGCAGGGTTAGTGAGCACTCAGATAGATAGCTGGCAGCTGAAAGACCAGACACCTGGGCCCCTAAGGTCAGCAGAAACCTCGAGACCAAAATCTGGGCCCTTGGATGAGGGTATGTGTATTACAGGGAGGTGTCCCGGGGCCTGGGTTTGAGGCCCGTGTGGTGGTCCTAGTAGAACGTATGATCCCTCGTTATGGCTGGCGGGGCCCTGATCACCTGGTTCACGGGGGACCCTTCCGGGGTATGAGTCTCCTTCACCTGGCAGCAGCCCAGGGCTATGCCCGTCTCATTGAGACCCTGAGCCAGTGGAGGTGAGTACAGGTTGGGAAGGGAAAGGGTTGGGAATGGGTTGGAAGGTGGAGAGCCAGAGTAGTAAATCCAGGGTCAGGAAGAGTCAGTGAAGTGGGGGGCAGGGTTATTATAGGTGAACAAGATGGGATTGAGGAGAAGTTAGAAATTGGGAACCAAGAGAATGTAGATGCCCTTAGTCCTTGTCTCCTAGGGTTAAGTACTCCCTAACTTGTTAATCTCTTAAGGTTTCTTGACCCCACCCATACCCTCACCCCTTTGCCCACTGACTTGCCCTTCTAGATGTCTTGACCTCTGGTCCCTCGTCTCCTTGATGTCTGCCCCTCTTAGTCTAACCTTAACCTGCACCTACCCTCTTGTGCTCTGATTAGCTTCCCTCATCTCTGTCCTTCTCTTGCCACCCCTCCAGGACTATGGAGGCAGAAAGCTTGGACCTGGAGCAAGAGGTGGATCCACTTAATGTGGATCATTTCTCCTGTACTCCTCTGGTAAGGAGACCAGATTCCTGGTCCCTCAGTGGCTACTGAAACTGGGGTAGGTGGGTGGGAAGAGGTGAAATAGTGAGAGTAGGGGGTGCATAAGGCTTCCCCCTTTGAGGGGAAGAGGGGCAGAGGGATATGGAAATAAAGTCATGGCCTAGTGGTTGAGTTCCTAGGAGGAGGATAAAGGTATCTGTGTCTAGCCCTTACGGTCTATTCTTCCATCCTAAACCCTCCTTTCCCTAGATGTGGGCTTGTGCCCTAGGGCACCTAGAAGCTGCTGTGCTCCTTTTCCGATGGAACCAACAGGCACTAAACATCCCTGATTCTCTCGGCCGACTACCCTTAGCTGTGGCACATTCCCGGGGGCATGTACAACTTGCCCGATGTCTAGAAGAGCTACAGAGACAGGAGGCTTCAGTTGAGCCCCTGCCTACCCCTTCACCACCCTCTGCCAGCCCTGACACTGGTGAGGATGTTGCCAGGGAACAGGAGAAAAGAAAGGAATTGAATTGAGAAATGTGAGAGGGGAGGGAAGCCTTGGGGCAGGGAGCAGCTTAGAGGAAGAGAGCTAGGATGGATGGGGGAAACAATGTAGCCAGAAGGCTAGAAAGTAAAAGAAAGAAGGTAGGAGACAAGTGGTAGTATAGAAATAAGCAGTAGTAGTAGGGTGTGGGCATAAGGAGAAGAAAGGGTAAAAGATGTAGGAGAAAACTAGCAAGACTACCTTGGACAACACCTGCCTTGCTCATAAATACTTTTTGACTTGCTTAATCTTTCCCTTCTCTCCCACCCTTCTAGGTCTGAGCAGTGTCTCCTCACCTTCAGAGCTATCAGATGGCATGTTCTCTGTCACTTCGGCCTACTCTAGTGCCCCAGACAGCAGTCCCCCACCTGCTTCTCTGCCTACTTCTGAGGGAGCCACTGAGGTGACACAGCCAGGCCAGTCTCCTCATGGTCTCTCTGAGGCTCCCAACCTACTCATGGACTATAAGGCCAGTAACCCCATGGGGCTTCCCTCACCCCACTCTGTGAGTGAGGAGCCCACAGTAGATGCTCCAGTCCAGGGTTATGGGGCCAGTTCGAAAGGAGCTGATTGCCATCAGGCTGTGGACACAATACAGGTATTTATCAAACTGGGTCTGGGGAGTGAGGATTCATGGGTATGTGTGAATGAGGGTTAAGGAGAGGGGGTGAGACAAAGCAGAGTGATCCAGAAGGATCTATGAAGGGAACAAGAGCTCCCTTTCTGGAGTTGTTTGGACCTGGAAGGCACTGAGGGTGGACAAAGTTGACCCGTGTTTTTTCAGTTCCTATGAGCCTTGCCTAGCCATAAGGAACAGTGGTAGGCATACAATAAAAGCTCATAAACTCTTGAGAATGAAAGAATAGATTTTTCGTTTGTTTCATCATTGTTGACAAACATTTATTTAGTATTATATGTATTATGCTATGTTCTAAGACACAGCCTTACCCATGAGGTGCTTACAGAAAATAAATAAGGGAAGTTAAATAAAAGGGTAGTATATGCTTAGTCAAATGTGGTATATTGATAGTGAATTCACAGGAGAGAGCTGTCATCAAGGGAAGACTAAGAAAGGCTTTCTGGAGGACATGATAGAACCTGAACTGGACCTTTAAAGAAGGATTAGACTTAAGGGAAGAGGAAGAGAAAAAACATTTAAGACAGGAACAATAGTATGAGCAAAGGCAGCAAAAAACATGGAGTAATGAATAGATTAATTTGGCTGGATTGGAAGGTCTTTGTAGGGGAGGAGTAGGTAGGGAATGGGGAGGCAGTTTAGAGTCATTAACACTAGGCTAAGGAGTTTGGACTTCATTACTAGAATGTGTTGTCTTTCCAGGAAGATTATAAATCCCTCAAGGACAGAGAAGTTTCTCTCACTTTTTGTCTTCCACTTAGTGCCTGTTGTTGTTCAGTCTTGTTTGACTTTTTGAGACCTGTGGACCATAGCACACTAATGCTGTCCGTGGGGTTTTCTTGGCAAAGATACTGGAGTAGTTTGCCATTTCCTTCTCCAGTGGATTAACACAAACAGAGGTTAAGTGAGTTGCCCAGAGTCACACAGCTAGTAAGTGTCTGACACTGGATTTGAACTCAGGTGTTCCTGACTCCAGGCCCAACATTCTATTTATCGAACCACCTAGCACTGTGCTATAATAGTAACTCAGTAAGCATTCTAGCATAATCAAAGAAATAAAGAAATTAGAAGGAAAGGCCTAGTGGGGCCTCAGCCAATGGCAGTGAAAACGGGAAGGCCTGGAGATACGATCCGGGCTCAGTCATTTTTAAGGCAGGATGAAGAGCTGATGGGTAGGAGCTTTCATGTTTTCCACTAGGTGGACATGATCTCCCTGGCCAAACAGATTGTTGAGGCAACACCAGAACGGATTAAACAGGAAGACTTTGAAAGTGTCCCTGAGGCTGGAGGCCCTCTTCAAGAACAGACTGGAGCCATGGGGCTCAGCGAGACTATGTCCTGGCTGGCTAGTTACCTGGAGAATGTGGACCACCTCCCTAGCCTCACCCAGCACAGGTGACCACACTCAGGGTGGGTCCTCTGGCCATTTCCCCTAAAATTGGACAAGGAGGAAGCAAGGGCCCACCAGGCTGTGACCTAGGGACTTTGGGCAGAGCAGACATAATCTCTGGTTGCCCACTCTTAGAAAAGGACCCAATTAAGACCTTGCCCACAGTTCTAGACTCCTGAAAAGGACTAACAGCTCTTTAAACTCAGTGATCAGGCAGCATCCCTCCACAGAAAGCCCTACAATGGGAAGGAAGAAGAGGTGGCCGGAATCTGATACCCTTCCTCTTCTTCCTCAATAGTGAGCTGCCCTTTGAGCGAGGTCGCCTGGCTGCTCCCTCTGCCCCATCTTGGGCAGAGTTCCTTGGGGCCTCAGCCAATGGGAAGATGGAAAGTGACTTTGCACTGTTGACACTGTCTGATCATGAGCAACGGGAACTGTATGAAGCAGGCCGTGTCATCCAGACTCCCTTCCGCAAGTACAAGGTTGGGGGGAAATGGAGGTGGTGGAACCAGAAGGGGTGCAAAGGTCATAGTGTTAGGGTTGAAGACCTAGGGGAGAGGCAGATGGGAGAATTTCCATCATTATTTTTCCTATGGGCTATAAAGAGTGCTGGGTGATGTCTGACATGGTGGGGTGGGGTGGGGTGGGGTGAGATATGGCTACTGGGAGAGTATAACTAAGGTAACTGAATGAGTAAAAGGAAGAAATGGATACGAGAGAGAAAAAACAGAGTATGGATCAGTTACTGAGTATATAGAGCAGCAGTAAATACAAAGGAAGACAGGCATTTCAAGTGTGGGCCCTGAGATCCAATTCTGTATTCAACACCAGCCCTAGTACTGATCCCCATAGGGAGATTCCATTATTCTGGAAGCTGGGATGACAAAGCCCCAGAAAATGTAGATTTCTGAGTGGTACAGTTTCTGCATAGGAAAAGGCAGTACCCAAGGCAAAGCCAGTGGGCAAGAACTCATTATGGTCATAATTATTAGCCAGTGGTAAAGTGCATATTTGGGAGCATGTGTTAGGTCTGTAGGCCCATGCGACTCAGAGGGACTGGTCTTAAATGGAGTCTGGAGTCAGAAGCTGGGAAGGTCATATTGGAGCCCAGGGTTGTTTGTTATGGTGGAATAATTAGGTTCCAGACACAGGTCATGCCAAGGAGTCAAGGATCTTTTAAGAGGACCACAGAACAGGTCTGTGAAGCTTAAATGTTGTGGGGAACATATTCGGGATAAGATGACCCTGTCCCAGCGGGGAGATGTTAGGGACAGAAGGCCTTCAAGTTTCCCTTGCTCCACCCACCCCCAAGGGCCGTCGACTAAAGGAGCAGCAGGAGATGGCAGCAGCTGTGATCCAGCGCTGTTACCGAAAGTACAAGCAGGTAAGATACAACTGCCCCACTGCTCCCTGAGCCCCTCTCTGGCTTAGTTTGGCTCTAACTCCACGTCTCTTCCCACAAGCTAACGTGGATTGCACTTAAGGTAATTAAGGGAGTATTTGGGATAAGGGACATATATGTCAGAAGAAGGATGAGTCTCCTTTCGTGGAGAGTCCTGCCTCCTTCTTGGCTTGAGAACAGGACCCTAGGCTCTTTGCCTCTTTGGAGACTCACCTAAAATGAATCAAATAGCCGTGGACTACAATGGATTCGTACGCTGCCTTGAATATTTAGTAGCTTCAGAACCTGTTTTTTCATGCTGTAAAATGAGGATAATATCTACACTGAATTTCAGGGTGGTTTTGAGGAAAAGCGCTTTTCAAACCTTAAACCATGATAAGAATGGGAGTTATCTGTCTCTGTCCCCCCATGTCGTGGTCTCTCTTTTGGTCATGTTTGCTGTCCATCTCCCAAATTGCTGTCCTCCAGTTTGCACTCTATAAGAAGATGACCCAAGCAGCCATCCTGATCCAGAGCAAATTCCGAAGTTACTATGAACAGAAGCGGTTTCAGCAGAGTCGACGGGCAGCTGTGCTAATTCAACAACACTACCGTTCTTACCGATGCCGACCTGGGCCCTCAGGACCTCTGCCTCCCCGTAGCAAGTATGTTCCTGAGCTCCTCAGTTATGACGGGCCCCAGACTTCGCAGAAAACGGCAGTCTTATAGTGTACACCCAACTTTCCTTTTCCCCCCACTGTACTTGTCAGAAACCTTGTGGTCCTTATACCTAAAATTTCCCGATGTTGGGCTGTCTTTACTCGAACTGTCTTGACCTCCCCTTTCCTATCCAGTTTTCTCAGGGTGGTGGTATTGAAGAGGAACATATGCATTCTCCTTTATCTTGTTAGCTTCCCCTTCTCTCTCTTTCCAGAGGCTCCTTCCTCACCAAGAAACAAGACCAGGCAGCTCGGAAAATCATGCGTTTCCTGAGGCGCTGTCAACACAGGTACCGTGCCCTCTTCAACTACCTTATTTTCCCCATTAATGTCCAATTTCCTCTCTTCCCATTGATTCCCCCAATCGTTTTCTTCTTTTTAAACAATTTTTTAGTATTTTGTTTTTCCCCAGTTATATGTAAAAACAATTTTAAACATTTTTTAAAACTTTTAGTTCCACATTCTTTCCCTTCCTCCCCATGGTCCCCTCATGGAGAATGCCAGCAATTCAATATAGGTTATACGTGTGAGGTCATGCAAAACATTTCCACATTAATCACCAATCATTTCCTTCTAAGACCCTATTTTACTGCTTGGTGTGTTTTTCTCTCTCCCCGCTAGGATGAAGGAACTGAAGCAGAGCCAGGAGCTAGAGGGTCTCTCCCAGCCTGAACTGACCACCTGACTCCCTCACCGCTACTGCCACCTTGAGGAGGGGTGGTCTTTACAGGGATAAAATCCCTTGTTGGAATAGGAGACAGCTTCCCTCCAAGACTCCAAGGAGCCTCTTCCCTCTGTAGGACTCTCCTCTTACCCTCTCTTAAGTGTTGTTTCCCTACCTCCTCCCAGGATTCCTGCCTCTCTTGCCTTCTCCTTTCCCTATTTTTACTGGCCTTGGCCTCTAGTCTGACCTACACTTTAATCTTCAGCTGTGATCTGTCAAGCCCCAGCTTCTGCTCCCCCTGCACCTGTGAAGGGGCTCCCTCTTTTGCCTGCCTGCCTTACGTGTTTTTTTAAACAGTCAGCCTCTGAAGGTCTCTCCCAGTTTCCCATTTCCACATCTGCTTCTTCCCCTTTCTGTCTGTCTCCCGTGTCTCAGCCCCGCCACTCACATCTCGGATCCCTGGAGAAGTCTTGGCATGATTCTTTGTCTCCACGCCTGCACTGTCACTTCTGTATCCTGACTCTCGTTCTCATTCTGCCCCTCCCCTTCGTCTCCCTACCCTTATAGATGGGGTAGAAAGGGAGAATGGGGGAGGTATAAATAACAAGTGTGTGTGTGGGAGTATTGTACAGAACTGTGCGGGATGGGGGTGGTGGTGCATGGGCCAATTGCTTCCCCCACCCCGGGTTTAAAATGGGTGAGGGGGGTGTCTCCTCATCTCCACCCCATTGCCCAGATGGTCACTGTTTCTAAGTGTGCATGGGCTTGGTTTGTACAACTTGCCATTAAAACATCACTGCAACCGTCCGACTCCTGCTTTTGTTTGGGGGGCGGGGAGGCAGGACCGGGCTTCGACCAACCAGTGCAAGTCAATGTAACTTACGAACTGGGGGATGGAGGGGTCGGGGGCGCGGCTGCCAGGGTGCCCCCCAGGAGGAAAAGTTAGGAGCTGGCTTCAGAAACCAGGAGCGGGGGAAGAAGTGCCGACCAGTGGGCAGGAGGGTGAATGCAGCCTCTGCCCTAGGTCTTCCGAGGAATCGAGGAGCCCCAGCAACCTTTGCTCCGACCCCTCCTTCCCCTTTAATAGGTACAACGGTTCAACTGGGAGAAGAAGCCGGGGCGGGGGGGGGGGGGGGGGAAGGGTGATTTTCCGCCTCCGGCAGTCTACTATCTTAAAGGCGTTTCGTACTTCCCTTTAAGGCGGCAGTGCCGCCCCCACTTAGTCTCTTCCAAGATGGCGGACCTACTGGGCTCTATCCTGAGCTCGATGGAGAAGCCGCCCAGCGTCGGTGACCAGGAGACCCGCCGCAAGGCCCGAGGTAAGGAGCCCCACAATACGCACCCCGCTCCTGGCTCACAAGAATCCACTCCTTGCTCCCGCCTGGCGCTCCCTTAACTCTGAAGACCCCCCCTGTTGGGCCCATCGGCGCCCCCTGGAATCCTCCATTGGGCGCCGGCTTTGCCAGTCAGCGGAAGGAGAACGGCCATTGGTCCCGTGCTCTTTGCTAGGCCCAGCTCCTTTTTCTTATCCTTCCCCTCCGCCGTCCTTGATCCCTATTAGTAGAAACACCCGCTTGTCTCTCTGCCCCGAGCTTGGATTGGTTAGCCATGAACCAGGTCACACCCACCCCTTTTGTCCCTGCCCCGAGCTCCAATTGGTCGATAGACCCATTCTTCCGCTCTTTGCCTCAGTCAATCAGTCAGTCAATCAATCAATCAATCAATCAAACCAGTTTTAATTGAGCGCTTCTGGTGTTGTCTTTTCTGCGCTGAGCTCTGGGAATACAAAGACCTAGAAAGAAACAAATGCTACCTTTTCGTAGCTTCCGCTGTAAAGCGGAGGCTCTTTAAGAGCATATGTAAATACATACCGAACCCAAGGGGGTAAGGAGCCCACTTGAGGGGAAGGATGCGTCTGCGTGGAAGTCCTTTCTCACACTTACGCTGGAAGTGTGCCCCTGGACAAGGGACTTAACTAAGTCCCTAGGCGACCAAGGCCTTATAGCCTGTTTCCTGCTTTTAAAAGGGTATGTTAATAATACCGTATACCTCACTGGTTTTTCTTGAGGATCAAATGAGGCAACACAAGTAAAGTGCACCTGCAAACTTCAAAACCCTCTAAATGCTAGCTGTTCATTGCTGAGAAGGTGCCGACATATGTAGGTAAAAGGAGTATCCTCACCTGGGAGTTCTCCACCATAGAAATCATAGATTTGTCCCTATTCTCAAATACATTAGCAGTTGAGAGGATCAGGAACAGTCATATAGAGAATGGTAGTTGATTTCCTGAAAGAAGAAAGGGATTCTTTGAGGCTGAGGTGAGGAGGGAGTGCACTCCAGGTATGGGTGTGTACTAGTGCAAATGAAGAGAGATTGTAGAGGTTACACTATTCTTGAGGAGCAGAGAAAAGATCAGTCTGGCTGGATTAGAGAATACATTATTTTTCTCCCCAAACTCTCCCCTCTCCCAAACTTTAATTCTGTGCAGGGCACCACCATCCTCCCAGTCTCTCAGGCTCACAGCCTCATCCTGTCATCCTCAATTCCTCACTATCTCTGTTTCCCCCTCCTTCCTATCCAATCTGTTGCCCAACACCTATTTTAGCTTTGCAAGATCTTTCAGATATGCCCCCTTCTTTCCTGCCACCACTCTAGTGCAGAGCCTCATCACATCACTCTTGTAACTATTGCTATATAACCTGCTGGTGGGTCTGCTTGCTAATGCATTAGTCTCTCCTAATGCCAGTCTATCCTCCATTCAGCCTCCACAATGATTCTCCTAGTCCAGCCATGTCAACTTCCTACTTTATAAACTCTAGTGGTTCCCTGTCACCTCCTAGATCAGATACAAAATTCTCTGTCTAATGATCAAAGCCCTTTATAACCAACCTTGCCCTTTCCAATCTTCTTATACCTTACACCCCACCATGCACTTTTCAGTACACTCCACTTCTCAGCTCTGAGCATTTTCTCTGGCTGTCCCACATCCCTGGAATGCTTTACTTCCTCATCTCTGCCTGGAAGCTTCCCAGACTTTCTTTAATTCCCAACTAAAATACCATCTTCTACAGGAAGCCTTTCCCAACCCCTATTAATTCTGGTGCATTCTCTTTCTTATTTCCTGTTTATCCTATATGTAGCTTATTTGTACGTATTTTTGCTTGTCTCCCTCCTTAGAGTGTGAGTTCCTTGAGGGAAGGGACTATCTCCCTCTTTTTTGTATCCCCAGCACTGAGAACAGAACACAATAGGACCCTAATAAATTCTTATTGATTGTCTAGAAGAATAGGAATAATATACCGTGAAGCTGGAAAGAAAGGTTGGGGCCAGGGCTTTAAAAGCTAAACAGAACATATTTTATCCTAAGGAGCCACTGGTGTTTGAGTAGGAGAGTGAGATGATCAAATATGGGCTTAAGGAAAACCACTGTGACAGCTGTGTGGAGTAGGGAAAGACTTGAAACAAGGAATCTAATTAAGAGGCTGCTGAGGCAGTAATTATGTGAATAGAAAAGTTTTGGATTCAAAAGAAGTTATGGAGATAGAACTGGCAAGATTTGGAAATGGATTGGATATGTTGTGTTAACTAAGAGAAATACTGGAAGATTTGTTCCTCTCCAGAAATAGAGAAGTTTGAAAGAAGGATAGGTTTGGAGGTGGGGGTGGGGAAAGATGATGAATTATGTTTTGAACACGTTAAATTTAAAATTTCTCCAGCACATCCGGTATGCCATGTCCAGTAAGCAAAATTGGTCATGTGGGACAGAAACTCAGGGTAGATAGGGGGTGGAGATATATATATATCTATGAAACATCTGCAGAGAGATGATAATTAAACCCGTGAGAGTTGGAGGTCACTAAGAGAGAGCACTTACAGTTGGAAGTGATCATAGGGATATAGATTTTAGAAACGGAAGGGGCCTTAGAGGACCCAGAGTTCAACCTCCTCATTTTACAGCTAAGGAAAGGTTGAATGACTTGTAGTAAGTAGTCTGAGGAGAATTTGAACCCAGGTTCCCCGACCACAAGTCAGGTGCCCTGTAACACCTGATGCTAGAAGTGTGCTCCTGGGCACACGCCCTTGACACCAATGCAGCAAAGTGATCAAGAAGGATGAAGAATGAGAAAGTGTCACTAAATTTGTCGATTGAGAGCAATTTTCAGTTGAGCGATGAGGTCAAATATCAGACTGAAAAAGGTTGAGTGGGGGCAGAGAAAGCAGAGGCAATGAACGGATGGAGCTTAAGGAGATTTTTCTGAGTTTGGTTGAGAGAGGAAAGAGGGATGAAGGCTGGGAGAGGGAATCTGCAGCCCAGAAGAGGTGGAAGATCAGAGGATCTGGAGGGTCGACCGATTGAGGGGGATCTGGTGGAGAAGACAGGAGGAGGGTCTGAGATCGGGATTAGCCAGGAGAAGGGCCGCCTCTTTCGAGCCTGAGGAAAAGGACGAGAGTGGGAGGAGATCTCCACGGGTTTGGAGTGAAGGAAGACTGGGAGGGAAGAGGAGGCTCGTGGGCCTTGGGAAGTCTTCCGACTTCCGGGCAAAGAAAGAGGCGTCGTTCTCCGCCCGGGAGGGTGAGGAAATGGGGAGGGGCGTGCGGGCAGCCTGAAGACGAGGGCAGGTTAGGACTTTGCGGCTACTGACGCGGGAACCTTCGGGACCCACTCGCCTTCCTTTCCTTTTTAGGACCTGCCTGTCCAGGAACGGAGCAATCCTATTGGCTCTCTCCTGCGGTTCTTTTGAATTGAGCTCTGCTTTCCCCGCCCTTTGCCCCCGTGGCTCCTATTGGCCAAAGTCCCCATTCGGCCGCCTATCGGTGACTATCTTGCCTCCTTTTTTTTTTTTTTAAACCTGTTCTTACTTTCCAACCTCTGCTCGGTCTGCATTGTCCTCCGCCCGTGTACCCTAACGAGCTTTTCGCCAGGAAGTGGTCGACGAGTGTTTTTTATTTACTACATTGTTGTGGGGAGCTTTACTTTCCCCTTGCACCTTGCAGTCAAACAACTAGTGATTACTGAATATAATGTGGAGTGGAAGGAGCTCCAGTCCGACAGTGCTGCACGGGACACTCTTTAACTTCCCCTGGCTGCTTCGCTGGGCCGGGCTGGGCTTGGGCTTCACCAGGGCAGTGCCTTCTGGGCCATCCCAGGACACTCTTTTTACTCTTCAGTTTCTCTTACAAATCCTCTTTTTCTCCCCTACATCATCCCACACCAGAG